TTTTCTGGTTTTGAATTCCTAGTCTGAAATCTGTCTGTATCTTGGTTACCATATTTATTTATACATGGAGCCTTTTATCTTCCTTGAACTGTATAGAATCAATCAGAAGAGGGCAGTGCATTCATACTAAATCCAAAAACTTGGCTTTGTTTTCTGGCTTGTAGAAAATGTAGACTATTCTCAAGTGAATGTTCATAAATCAATCCTCAGCTATTGGATTCTGAAACTGATTATCTGTCCTTTACCCTATGGCTGAGAGCAATTTCAGAGATGAGATGGGGAGAATGGTATTGGTTGGGAATACATTTTAGATACCACTCAGTTTAAACTTGCAGTACTACTTAAAATGATCTCTTCTTTTAATCCTACAAAAGAAAGGAAAGAGTTGAGCTTTGGGAGATCTAATAATGTATTTCCCACATTGTGTCCAAATCCAGGGTATAGCTGAATTTTGGAACAAGGTGAAATCTTTGAACTTGTGGTTTCAGCAATTAAAGAGTTATCAGTCTGTATAAAGTTCTACTTCTCTTTTACACAAGAAGTTCAATGGATGTCTTTGGGTCAGTAGCTCTCTCTCTCAACCCTAGGAAGAAAGCAGCAAGAGCAAACCACTTCTGAAATCTTGCCAAGAAAACTGCAGAGACTTGTTGCTAGGATTCAGGCTTGACTCAAAGGCATACACATACACACAACACTCCTTTGCAACTTCCTCCTCAGACCCTTCCACATAAAGACTTTTTCACAAGTTCAAAAGTAGATCTGATTAAAACTGACAATTGAGACAATTTATTTTTATTTGTTTTTTTTAAAATGTCAAATTCTACAGAGCTTGTGGGCAGGTTGTTTTCTATTAGAAGAACAAAGAATATAGAATATTAGGGTTGGAAGAGAACTTAGACCACCTGGTCAAGCAGGAGGCACTATTCTGGACAAATGGCTGTCCAGTCTCTTCTTGAAACCCGCTAGTAATGGAGAGCACCCACAACTGCAGGAGGCAGGCTGTTCCACTGATTAATTCTTCTCACTGTCAATAAATTTCTCCTTAGTTCTAGATTGGATCTCTCTTTAATGATCTTCTACCTATTACTACTTGTCCTGCCCTCAAATGCTTGGAGAACAGGTCAACTCTGTCTTCTCTTTGGCAACCCCTCATGTACTGGAAGATGCTATCTTATCACTCCAGCCCTTCTTTTGATTAGACCAGATATACTTAGTTGCCTCAATTGTTCATTGTATAGTTTAGCCTCTAGACCCCTTATGTTTGTTGCTTTTGTTCTTTCTAGAATCTCAACATCTGGAACTGGATGCTGTAATTCCAAGTGTGGTCTCATCAGTGCAATGTAAAGCAGTATTATTACTTCATTTGATCCTGAAATTATCACTCTTGATGCAACCCGAGATTGCATTAGCTTTTTTGGTAGTTGCTGAACACTGCTTGCTCATACCTAAGCGGTAATCTTCTAAGACACCTAGATCTCTCTTATTTTCTCCCTCTTCTTCAGTGGTGGGATTCAAATTTTTTTACTACTGGTTCTGTGGGCATGGCTTGGTGCGCATGGCAGGGGAAGGATACTGTAAAATCTCTAGTCAGAGGTGGTATTTGCCAGTTCTCCACTACTCAAAATTTCTGCTACTGGTTCTCCAGGACTGGTCAGAACCTGCTTAATATTACCTCTGCTCTTCTTCCACCTGAGTTTCAACAGTCTGAGTTTATATAGAATATTCTGTTGTTGACGTCTGGTGCAGGGGTGGGATTCAACCAGTGTTACTACCGGTTCGGTTATTACATTTTGTGTGTGTAAAACCACCTTAAGCTGTGCTGCCTAGACAGCTGATAAGCGCTGCATGAGGGTGCGCAGCGCTTGAAAAGCCTCTTTTTCCTGCTTTTTCAACCTCAGCTGTGCCGCGCAAAGCAGTTGTTGAAAAAGAAGGAAATAAAGGACAGGTAAGAGCCCGGGTGGGCAGGTTGGTAAAAATTGCTTTTTCTGCAGTCCTAATTATCCTCTGAAGTCTGTGTCTGTCCTGTTGGGTTGCAGAACCAAACCAGACAGTTATCGAGGTGCAGATGATAGACTCAATAATTCCTCTGTAGAACTGTATCAGCAGCTCCTTGGGCAGTTTGAGCTTTTTGAGTTGGCACACAAAGAACATTCATTGTTGTACTTTTTTGATGAAGTTTTTGATGTTACGTGTCCATTTTAGGTCACGTGATATAATAGAACCTAGAAATTTGAAGGTCTCTACTGTTGATACTGTGTTGTCTAGTATTGTGAGAGGTGATAGTATGGGAGAGTTTCTTCTAAAGTCTACCACCATTTCTACGGTTTTGAGTGTGTTCAGTTCCAGAATGCTCTGGTTACACCCAAAGAGCCAAAGCATCCCATTTAGTGAGAGAGCCCGATTGAGTAAAAGCAACTATAGGTAGTCTTTGACTTATGACCACAATTGGGCCCAAAATTTCTGTGGTTAAGTGAGACATTCGTTAAGTGAGCCCTATTTTATGACCTGTCTTACCACAGTTGTTAAGTGAATTGTTGCAGTTGATAGGTTAGTCACCTGGTTGTTAACTGACTCTGGATTCCCTATTGACTTTACTAGTCAGAAGGTTGCAAAAGGTGATCACATCACTTTGAGACACAGCAATGGTCGTAAGTATGAACCAGTTGCCAAGCATCCAAATTTTGATCATATGATCATGGGGATGCTTCAAAGGTCGGAATTGTGAAAAATAGTCATAAGTCACTTTTTTCAGTGGCGTTGTAATTTTGAATGGTCACTAGATGAACTGTTGTAAGACGATTACAACCTGTGTTCAGTTTAAGTATTATTGCCATGAAATAGCATTTCAGCAGAAATATTAAATACACTAAAATTGCTTTTAATTGCAATCACCCCTTAATATGTGATCAACAGAGGATTATTTTCATTTCATTACTGGGTTTATTTCTTTGCCTGGAAAATCCTAGTGAGATCATATATATGTTACATATGTGCAGTGTAATTTCAAATATATGTCTTACCATGAATGTCCACATGTTCTTACTGTTTTCTTCAAAATGATGAAAGCATAATTTCACTCCTTAAGCTCTGGCCACCTCATGACTGGATAAAAATTTATTACAGTACAAACAACATCACAGCACATTACAAAAGGGAGGAGGGGCTTGTGCAATGCTGTTTTCATTCATCCCTCCATGAATACCAATATAAACCTATTATAATCAAATTGAATAGATAGGGCTGTGATGGTGAACCTATGCCACACGTGCTGGAAGTGGCACACAGAGCCATGCCAGCCGTCGCCCGTTGCTTTTCCAAGTTCTGGTGTGCACAAGCACACCGGCCAGCTGGTCTTTGCACACGTGGGAGCACCAGGAACCAGAAGAGCAGCTTCATGGAGCACTTGGTGCTGTAAAGGTTAGCCACCACTGAGATAGGGTATTGATGGCATACCTACTTGATTTTGAAAGGTATCACATAAAAACCTTTGAACTTTTTTGGAGAGACTGATGTACACAGGAAAGTTACGATTTTTAAAATCTTCTCATATATTTGAAAAATTAATGCAGATAGACCAATACCTATATAGGCTGGGTAATTTATAAAACACAATCTAGTTACTGAATTAACTTTTCTGGTGTTGCACAAAATACTGAATCATAAATATTAAGTTGGCAAGGTTCACACCATATGCTAATATAAAACAAGAACCAATCTCCCTTGCTAAAATGTCGGGTACAGGAATTATTTAAGAGGTGTGACTTTTGCTGCAGTAAAATTTTCTTTGGAAAGGCTCAAGAGATTTCACTAGAGAAATATTGTAGTTTTTTTTAAATGTAAGGTTATTTACATTTACAAACCGGAGGTCAATTTTGTTATATTTATTTGCTGTACTTTTTTGTCACTGTATAATTTTGTCATTCCCTTTCTCTTTTATGTTAGTTTGTATTTTAATACATGATGTTGAAACTTAATAAAGATATTGCATAAAAAAAAGGAAAAAAGGCTCAAGAGATGGATAGATAGAGAGTGTGGGTGTGGATGTTGGGTAATAGCCTGCCTTTAAACAAGGGACTGAACTGAGCATTTTTTGGTCTTTTTCAGCTCTTGGCTCTAAGCTTTCCCTTCGTATTATATGACAATATAATATGAGACAGTATGTCCCTTAATATAATTTGTTACTAACTCAAATTGAAATGGGGAGCTATAATTTTTAAGCTTATTTTGATCGATTTGGGAACACTTTGGAAGTTTACCCATGATTATTTTCACGGACTGGAAAAACAAGCTTCTGCAAAAGACAGTTTGTTTACTAACTGTTGATTTGCAGAGGACTGTAGGGAAGTTTGAAAGTGTATGTTCACTTTCATGTTCATGAACGCAGCTCTGAAGAGCCCAGCAGGCAAAGCAGAGGCTCAGTACTAAGCAACTTTTCTTCACAATATAATCCAGGATGTATAAGGCACAGAAGTTTCATGGCAGGCAAAATTATGCAAAAAGAGATCGCGGGCGGAGGGGGGGGGAAGGGGGGGGAGGAGAGACGAGATTGAAAGAGCTGAACTGCTGCAAACAAAATTTGTGTCATGATTTTATCTCTGTGGATCTTTTGGGAGAAACAAGTTTACACATTCTTGCCTGCTTCAAAACTGTACATTAGTTGCTCTGTCAGCTCTTGGGTTTGTTCCTCTTGTCTTCTGCGGCCAGTAGCTTCCCCCCCCACCCTCCCTTCACTTTCCTTCTTTAGGTTGCCTTCCATGCCAGGCCTTCTGGCTCAGCTCCCCATCCCTTAATCTGACTCCTACAGACTTGGCAAGTTCAAGGTGACTTGTTCAAATCAAGACAATTTTCCGCCTCTTCTCCACCCACTTTCTCTCTGCCGGCTTCCCTTCGACCAATTGGGAATCTTGCAGGGCTGGGTTTAAGGGGCTCCTCCCCCCACAAAGTGCAAATTTCTTTCCTAAACCTTTCTGTAAACAACCTGAGCCCTTTGCTTTCATGTAAGCAGCAGTTTTTTTTAAAAAAAGGAGGGCCACTGCTTGCTCAGCAGAATTAAGAGAGCTGTTCACAGTAAATGTGGCTGGCTTCCAGTTCATTTGGTGCTTTTGCATCTATGTGACTGAAGGACTTCTCTGATCCTTTTCTCGGCTCCACAATCAGGAGGTAGCTGGCACTGACGTCCAAAATTGCAAAGGACACCACCATACTGTAAGTTGCTGGGAGTTTAAATTCAGGGAACATATTTCCATTTCCTTTCTTTTCTTCTTTTTTTCCCCTCCGATTTTGCGACTTCTTCAAACTGACAGCTAACACAAAGAATTAGCTTCCAAACCCTCTGCTGGTTGATACTGTTTTTGCAGTGGTGCTGGAAGAGGTGCTGGGTCCTTTTGTAAGGAATGAATGATGCAATCCCAAAGAGGGAAAACATCAGCATCTCAATCTGGAACAGAAAGTTGTTCTTTTTGTATATTGCATAATATGTGTCATTTCGAGGCTCCTTTCCCCTCTGGTAAAAGGCTTTTAAAAATATAAGACAAACTTTACCCAAATCATCCACACGTTTTTCCAGGGGAAATCTTATTATGAAGAGCTCTGCTGGATTACACTCAAAGTAATCAAAGTTATCTAATCCAACAATTTGCTTTTTACAGTAATTGGTCAGATTCTTCAAGGAAACCAAGGCACAAGTTAAGAAACTGATATCTTGTTTACATGCTTAGACAGATTTGCTGTTGAATATGGAGGTTCCATTTTTTCCCATCAGTAATCACCCCCAGTGGATATATTTATAATAAATTTGACCATTGTTTTGAAGGCATTTTCAGCTTCTATTTTTAAAGTAGTAATCTTTATTTTTAAAAGCCCACGTCACATACTCAGATGTTGAAGAAATGTTTTATTTTGCCAGAGGAAAATAATGTAGGATTCTCTGGAGTTAGAAAACATATCTTCATTTTTTATTAAACACAGTATTCAGTTTGGTTATCTGAAAGACATTGAAACAATGTGCTAATGAAATGAAATCTTTTGAAAAAGAGAAAGAGAAAAAAGAAAAGCAGAGCTTTTCAAATCCCAGTTTCTCTGGGCTGCAGTTCTGCTGTAAGTTTTGTACATCGAAATCCTTTGTATTTTGTGGAAAACTGTTCGCAGCATATGTATCAAGCAAATTTCTAACAACTATTAACTTTCTGCAGCATTTCCAGTATAGATGCTAGTGTTCCAAATTGATGAACGGTTCAGCAAGGGTGAGAAGGAAAAAGAAACTAGTCTAGGAGTCATAAACAGCACAGAATTCACAAATAGTGATTACTGAGGTCTTCCAAAGGCCATTCACTAACCTTATAGAGAGAGAGAGTCTGCTCTCTGTTGTTGGGACTTTCTTCCACCAGGCCAAGAAACTCTGAGCCTTTTTTTAAACAAATACTGTTTAAAAAATACTGTTTATTGTTCCAGGTAGCAGATTCCACATATAATGCTTCCAGTCCCAGATGGAGTCATATTGTATCCCCATATTTTGTCTCTATTTTGTAAAGATTGAAGAAAGGAAAAATCAGATTCCAGTGCAGAGGGAAACTCATATCCTTAAAAACGTGCTATCATTGATATGCTTAATGAAATTAGTGTTGCTGATTTCTTTTAAATTATTTTCATCATTCCTACTTTGCCTATTTATTTTTATTTTTATTTATTTATTTATTTGATTTGTCAATTGTTTACAAGATAACAAGTATAAGTATATACATAGTTATGAATACATGAAATGGGTACATATAAGAAAAATAAGCGAAACAATAGGACAGAGACAGTAGGCACAATTGGTGCACTTATGCACGCCCCCTTAGGAGGGTAGGACATTGCAATGTATGATTTTATATACCATACTTAGATCAGACCAAAGACGGCATAATTCAAGGTTTTCTAGGTCTAGAATTTCAAGTCTGGTGGCGTAAGGTATTCTACAACGAGTAGAGCAGTGGAGAACTCTTCTTGTGAAATATTTCTGGACTTTCTCAACTGTGCTAATATCAGATACGTAATGTGGGTTCCAGACCGATGAGCTGTATTCGAGTATTGGTCTAGCAAATGTTTTGTATGCTCTAGTTAGTAGTGTGATATTACCAGAGAAAAAGCTACGTAGGATTAGGTTAACAACTCTTAATGCCTTTTTGACTATGTAGTTACAGTGGGCTCTAGCACTTAGATCATTAGAGATGAGTATTCCAAGGTCTTTTACAGAGCTTGGTTCAACAACAAGGTCTTGACTATTCAGCTTGTATTTTATTTTCTGATTTTTTTTGCCAATATGTAAGACAGAGCATTTATTTGTTGAGATTTGAAGTTGCCATTTGTTTGACCATTCTGATACATAGTCAAGATCTTTTTGAAGGGTAGCAGTATTGTCTGTGGTATTGAACAGCTTTACATCATCAGTGAAAAGAATGCAGTTGCTCTTAATATGACCACAGAGGTCATTTATGTAGAATATGAAGAGAGTTGGTCCTAGAACACTGCCTTGGGGGAACACCACTATTGACAGGTAGAGAATTTGATAGGACCCTCCTTTTTGACCATTTGTTGTCTGTTTGACAGGAATGCTTCTATCCAGTTATGCAGTTGTCCAGAGATACCATAAGATTTTAGTTTTAGGAGTAGTTTGTCGTGTTCCACTGAATCAAAGGCTTTACAGAAGTCTATGTAGATTGCATCTATTGCTTTGCCCTGGTCGAGTTGTGTCGTCCATATTTTTTTGCAGTGTAAGAGTTGCAGATTACAGGATAGTTTTTTCCTGAAACCAAATTGTTTATTGGAGAGTAGGTTGTTTGTCTATAAGTGGAGGAGGATGGATTGGTTAATAATTGATTTCATGGCTTTACAGGTGATGCAGCATAAGGAGATTGGTCTGTAATTTTCAACTAGGCTGGGGTCTCCCTTTTTGAAGATGGGGATGACCGTGGCTTGTGACCATAGTTTAGGCAAGGAGCTGGTCCTGAAAGATTTTTCCATGATTATGCTTAGAGGTTTGGCTATAGCAGTGGATAGCTTTTTTAAGAAGTAGGCACGAATTCCATCCGTTCCAATAGATAGAGATGGTTTTAGATTGCGTAGTGCTTTTTCAACATTGTCTTCTGTAAAATTGATATGTATTAGATCAGTGTAGGTATCTGTGGTTCAGCTAGGAAATACTAGGCATGATCCATTGCTGTTTACAAATACTGAGCCAAAGAATGTGTTAAAGATGTTGGCTTTAATGGTGTTGTCGTTTCAGTCTTTACCATTAGGTCCTATCAGGGGTGGGATGGACCTTGAATCTTTTAGTTTGTTGTTTACAAAATTGTAAAAAGCACGGGTGGAATTGGTGCTTAGAAGGTTTTCCTCTTGTTTAATGTGATAATTGGTGCATTCAGTCTTTATCTGGTGGCATAAATTTTTGTATCGGCTTTTGAAATTGGCAACGTGACCAGATTTGTTTTTCTGCCAGAGTGATCTCTTTTTGGATTGAAGTTTCCTTATTGTTATGGGTAATCTGTTTTTTGTTTTAGGAGTTGTTGTTGGTACATACAGTTTGATGACTCTTTTGACTTCAAGTAAAAATATGTTGTAATGGTCTTCAACAGTATTGCATCCAGTGAATAGAGATTGCCAATCAAGGGATGAGAGATTGTTGCCTATAAGATCATAGTTGCCTTTATAATTGGGGATTACGTCATTGTGGTGATTTTTGTGTGGGCGTATGTTGAGACAAAAGTCAATCATATTGTGGTCACTGCTGGAAAGGGGTTCTTTAGTTTGTATTCCATAAATTAAATTCAAACTATTGCAGAAGATGAGATTGAGGCAGTTGGTTACTAGTTGTTCCAGTCCCAGATTTGTAACAGCATTGTAGAAGGTTGCGTGTATCGTTTCAGTTGTACATTCATTTAGGGTCCAGTCAATATGAGGTAGATTGAAATCACCAAGAAAGATAAAAGGGTATGGGCAGGATGCTGCCCATGTTAGTAGTGAATTTAGCTTGTTTACATGTTCGATGTCATAATCAGGTGCTCTGGAACATAGATACAGATATTTAAGGATAATTCACAGATGATGGTCTCAGGAAGAGCAAGCTCCTGGGTAACTTGGATATTTTTTAGATGTAAGAACTTTTTATAGAAGATAGCAACACCAACTCCTCTACGAGTTTCACTATCTGATCAGTAAACATGATAGTCTCTTATTGTGGTAATGGAGTCAGGGAGAGATGCATTGAGCCATGTTTCACAGACAAATATAATGTTGAATTTAGCCGTATTTAGTAAGAGGAAAAAATCAGATATTTTTTATTCGCGAGCTTCTTGCATTGAATAGCTTGCATTTAAGGCCAGCAGTAGTTGGAATTGAAGTAGTTAGGGGCGTGCGTGCCTAGTCTTGGGTGATGGTGGATTGGTTGAGGTAGGGTTGTGGCTGAAGGTTAAAGCTGAGTTGCGGGTTGTGTGACTTACTTTTGATACTGCCTATGGGCAGAGCATTCTAAAAATGATCAAGAAAGCTAACAAGAAATAGCCACAGACAGACAGACAGACAGACAGACAGATAGATAAAATGTTGACAAAAATGCTGCTTAAAATTGCTGCTTTAAAATGTTTTAAAATATATAAACACACCTTTCTTTTTCTTCTTGGTGATTAGAGTGAATTGCTTTGCACAAAACAAAAACAAAACAGATTTTTGAAACTGCCAATTCAAGTTCCTTGCTTTAAAAAGGATGATTCATCATTGTCAATATTTTTTTAATCTTTGGAATCTAGGACTGGCCTGTTTGAGAGAGGCTTCCCAGTTATTTTTCCTCAAAGCTAGCACTCTCTCTTTTTCTAAAAAGATATTCTGGACTCACCTGTTACTTGACTCTTATCAGCCAAGATGGCCAAAGAGCAAGCATGTAAGTGGTAGGTTGCACATTTTCTCAAGCTATGGTGCTTGATGTCCCTGAGCATGATGCAGAAACAAGGCCTTTGTCTCCCCTTGGTATGCCCCAGTTACCTTCTGTTCAGATATGGGGTCTTGCCAATTGTATCTCCAGAAAGTAACTGTTAGTAAGGGTCAACCCACTGTGTGCTGAACTAGGCAAAGCATGAATGAGACAATGCTCAAAGCAAGAACCAAGCAAGGAAGATGGCACACTAACAGAATCTGTAGAGAATATTGGCAGCTTCACATATCCCACTAAATGATCATTAGCTCTACTATGGTTTGTTCACCAAACCATGGGCAGCTTTGTACAAAATTCTGTGTGACTCTGATTGCTGAATCATAATACTTTGACAAGGAGGAAGCCACTTCAAAGTCTCACATTAGACGTTGGTGAATCATGCAGCAGTCTCTATTGTCTTTGGTTGTTGAACTGCTGCCCACAGGCACTTTATTTTTATGTTTTTCCAATTCCAAAGGTGGAAAGCAAATCACAATATATTGTAAGCACTTAGATGTATACATTGCTTCACAGTTCTTTACAGCCCTCTCTAAGCAGTTTGCAAATTTCAGCATATTGCCCCCAACAGCCTGCACATGTGTATTTCAGTTCAAATGGGATTAAATGCAATTGTGGGAGTACAGATCATCATTCAATATATTTTATGGCTGTAGCAACTCATAATGTCCATCTTCAGAAGCTATTTATTTCCAGATATATTGTGTTGGGGATGGAAAATAGGACAGGGATTTTCCTTCCATCTTTGCTTTTCTTAGAAGCATCTGGATGGACACAGTGAAAGCAGAATATGGACTGAATGGATCCTAGTCAGATCCTGTAAGTTAAGGCATCCATTACATTCTTTATTCATTCATTAATTCACACTGCTAATATAGGCAATATTTTTCATTATAACTTAATATAAAAGCACTAGCCTTTTCTTACATAAACTCACCATTAACATTTTGACAGCTGGGAAGAAAACACAGGAAGGAGATTGAGATTAGAGCAAAGGGATGCATTATATAATATATACCCTAATGTATTCATATTGATTCATATCCTGTTCTATTGCATTATATCAAAGTGGCACAAACAAGATTAAAAATATTCAAATAAAATTAATCAGTCCTTCAAATTAAAATGCTGGCAACAAAAGGCAATTAAAAGACTTTATAATATTAAATATTACAATTATTTTTATTAAAGAAGATACTTATGTTACAAGAGAGAATCCCATCATCTGAGTATTATTATTATTGAATTGTCCATTGAAATGTAAAGCCCCAATGAACCTAATGGGACTTATTTTTGAGTAGGGCTCTGGCTGTCTCAGCCAAAAGTCTGGTGATTCTCCAATTTTTCTTTTCTGGGTGTGTTGTATTCTTGACCTTGTTTCTGTGTCTGTTGGATTTTCATCCTGTGATTGCATTGTTTTCTTTCATTCCCAGCAATAGCTGGAATACAATGAAGTCACTTCACCGGACTCTTGTTCCAAAACTGAAAATGGGGGAGGGGCTTCTCTTTCATGAGGAAAGAGAGAGAGAGAGAGAGAGAGAGAGAGAGAGATTAACAAAGCACACTTTTCAGAGAAGAATGACATTTTACACTGCTTATGAACTGAATACTGTGAAGCAGTCTTTATGCTTCTAGTGCCAAATTATCACTGATCCTTTAAACTTATTTCACTTGCATTGATGCCATTTTTCATTCTAGTTGCCCTTGAACTTTACTAATAGCACCTTGGCAAAACAAAAAACAAAAGTACTTTTCCATTTCCTACTGCTGAGACTAATCATTATGCAAATCACCCCACCTTTTCTCTGTTGCCCAATGCTAAAACAGCTATTCATCACGCCCTCAAAGTTCCAGCCTGCTGGATAGGTTCTTCAGCAATCAAAGTTGGTTCTTCTGTTCCTAGAGCTGACTTCCAATAGAAATTGATTCAAATGCTAATTAAATCACATGTCTGTTTTTATTACTTTGGCAATAATCCCCTTCAAGCTATAATTTATTCATTTATCTACAGCCAAAAAGATGTCCTGTGCCTCTTACACAAAGTTATTAATAATTTGAGAGCCCACGTCTTTAATTTTCAAAATTTAGAGAACAAAAGATAACAAGAAAATAGAGGACTGTCTGCCCTTCTTCAGCGTGGCTTTGCTTTTAGCTTCCTTAAATCATGCTTGCAAATATATGTAAAATGCCGTACCAGAAAAAAAGAATAAATTGAGAAATTGAGCATCGCCGAGGTAACCCTAAGTGTTTACAGTTTAAAGATGTTCTAAGTTGCTTGCTTTTTCATTGAACAGCAAAAATTTTAAATTTGCTGAATTCCTGAAAAGTAGTAAAGGCAGCAGGTTGGAAATGAAGAGGCAGTGAGTTCTAGCCCTGATTTAGGCATGGATGCTGGATGGATGACTTGACAGGGTTGTTATGGGAAATAGGTGGAGGAATGAATCTATGTATATAAAAGCGAAATACCACTCACACATCATTACAAAATCTCCAGGACCGTAAAGCCTACAAACTTGAAATTTGGCACATATGTTCCTCTTGGCTTCTAGGTGCTTACTCCTCCTCCCCACCTGAAAAAAAATCTCTTCCAAATGCAAAACACAAGCAGAGGAGAGGAGTTTCAGTTTTAGTTTCACAGTATCAAGCAGCTTTAGTACAGAACAGTTGAGCTAAGTCACGCCCAGGCTCCTTGCTGTTCTTGCTAACACTGCAAATACTGTTTCAGTTTCCAAACAGCCCTCAACTCCCACACACTGACAGCCAGATGAATACCGATGGATGCTGATAGGCAGAGGCACAATTTTTTTCTCCTTATTTTCCTCCCCACAAACTAAGCCTGACCACATAGTTTCGTAGCAAAGCACGGGTATCGAGCTAGTGTTAGATATGTTCGCTTCTTGAATTATTTATAATAAAGGAAGGATGAAAATCTAATTATAAATTCTGGGTAGCTTTAGGAGTTGGCTGACGTAATATTTGGTTAGGGTTAGTGACTTTTATACAGTGATATATAGCTTACCTTATTTTATTTATTTATTTGTTTGTTTGTTTGTTTATTTATTTATTTTGATTTGTCAATCGCTTACAAGATAATATGTATAAGTGTATACATAGTTATGAATACATGAAATGGGTACACATAAGAAAAATAAAAGAAACAATCAGACAGGGACGGTAGGCATGTTGTTGCACTTATGCACGCCCCCTACACACCTCTTGGGAAAGGGGTGAGGGCAATAGTAGACAGTCTAAGGTTAAAGTTTTTGGGGTTTGGGGAAGAAACCACAGAGTCAGGTAGAGTATTCCAGACATTGACCACTCTGTTGCTGAAGTCGTATTTCCTGCAATCAAGTTTGGTACGATTAACCTTGAGTTTGTATCGATTGTTTGCTCTTGTGTTGTTATGATTGAAGCTGAAATATTCATTGACAGGTTAGTCATTGCAATGTATGATTTTATATACCATACTTAGATCAGACCGGAGACGGTGTAATTCAAGGTTTTCTAGTTCTAGAATTTCAAGTCTGGTGGCATAAGGTATTCTACAACAAGTAGAGGAGTGCATGTGTATTGCATATACAGTAAGCCAATTATACATTATTTAGTGAACAATGATCAAACAGACCTTGACTTTTCATATTTTATGAACCCAGCTGCTAGTTATTCTTTGTAATAAAATTCCAAGCTATGTATTATGTTATATAACTGCTTGGTGTTTTTTTTCAAGAGTATCCACTTGAAAGAGCTTTAAAAAAAAGCATTGCCCTTTTCTGCTACCTTTGAAGCTTGCCATGAAAGGAAGAGTGACAAACTTTACAATTTAAAATGTATATACTCCTTAAAGGCACTCAAATATTAAAGCTGCAATGCCATCCACATTACTTGGGATTTATCCCTTGAAGTATAGGTAGGGTTGGTGCCCATAGCCGCAGTCCTCTTGCACATTTACCTAAATTTAAGAACTTCTAATCCTAGGATTCCTAACACCACTAATCAAAAATATCCTGAGGCTCTCTGTTGTCTTTTCCTCTTCATCAGTTGCTGCTGTTTGTTTGCTTGATTGATTTATGAGAAAAATGATAGAGCAAATGGCAAAAACCCTTGGGAAAATTATGAATGGTATTAATACATTTGGATCTCTTTTCTGAATGAGGCAGGGCGATTCTATTAAAACAGAACAGAACAGAAGAACAGAGTTGGAAGGGATGCTTGAGGTGTTATAGGGCAACCCCCTGCTGAAGTAGGAGACCGTATACCATTTCAGACAAATGGCTGTCCAGTCTCTTTATCTGAAATCTCCTTCTTGGTGAGACAGTAGAGTTCTGCATCCTAAATTGTTGGAAATGTTGCTTTCTCTTTTTAAACTAGTGTGAACTTGTTGCATTGGATTTATGGGTCTTACATTGCAGTTCCATAAACACTAATGCAGAGATGAGCCTAGCTGAGTGCACTGCTACTAACTGCAGGTAAATGTGTATATTAGATTACAATTCTGTTATTAGACACTTTAGTTGAATTTGGCTCATTTTACTTATTTATCCTGAAAATATTTTCAAACATAATAAACAGTATGAATTTACATTTAGCTAAGGCTCTGGATATCAATTGTTGTTTTTTTCTCTTCTTCAATTGTATCTGATTTAACTGATTTAAAATGTGGCAAAATCTCAGAAGGAGAGAAGCAAGAGTTTTTCCAGAGATTAAGACCAAGACATGTAAAGAGCTATTTGCATACCTCATGTCGGCAAACAAGCCTAAGAAGGAAGAGCTATATTTGCATACATTTTCCTATATAATCAGTTCATATGAAAACGACATAATCTGCATTGGTTTCCAATGGAGTGTACATTTCTAAAATAAGAAGGACTTTGCTTTTAGATTTTTTTAAAGTCCCAGCCTCTGTGGTGCAAGATCTTATCCCTGACTGGGAGATGATCCGAAGAGGCCTAACCCAACCCTGGAGGGGAGCCTGCTTGGAAGCCCCACTGCGTGCCGCCATCAGCTCAATCATGTAAGAGAGAATTGATATACAAAAGGAAAGTAATCCAAGTTTTCCTTCTATTGGTGAAGAAAGATTTCCTACAGTTTCTCACTCAGTGTATTGTATTATGTCCCTGACAATGTACAGTATATGAACTATGGCTTACGCCAGGGATACGTATGCATCATCGGAAATCCTTTTTTGGGACACTGTAGAGGCCAATCAGGTTTATGCTGCTAAACTTCAGTCTCAAATCACCAAATAAATCCCTGAAATTTTGTATCAGTTTTCTGCAGGGAAATAGATGAGTTATGTATTTGCTAGGTTCATACTTATAAAAAGGTTAACAATCTCCCAACTAAATAAAATGCGGGGAAACTAACTCCAAATTCTAACCTCCTATATATATAGCATTAAGTGCTCTCAGTTTCTCACATGAACTGCTCATACAGGAAGAACAACAAGCCAGCACTGGCATGTTTCAGATTTCCACTTTCTTGGGTACCCTTGGACTAAGTGTCCTGGCATATTTGTCTGCCATATCGTCCTCTTTTGTAGCCAGCCAATGTGTTCCTATCCCTAGAGGGTCTGAAAAGCCTCTAATATCCAAAGTGAACCCATATGGTGGAGAAACTTTGGCTTGGACATCTGCTAACATCCAAGAAGCACATTTATCATGTCTGAAAAGCATTATTGGAGCAAAGGCATGCCCTTCCAGATTAAAATGGAATGGACTGGTACAGAACTGTTTATGTCACTTCTGTTATTCACTGTAGCTCTTTGAAGCTGAAAAAAAACCCCAACTACCAGGCATCAGCAAATTTCTCATCTCTGGTTTATGGTACCACTGGATAGTCCATATATCAAACCCACGAGGCTTTGGTGCAGTCCATAAAAAGACATCTTGTTTGGCTGCTTAAAACTGGCAGTAATACTGGTTTTCCATAGCAAACCACCTACAGCTGTATTTCAGCAGTAAGCTGTTTTGAAATTTCTGCATAATTGTGGTTAGAAAAAATGGGCCTGAGAAATAACCATGTTCATATTTTAGGTCAGCATTCAGTACCTTACAAAAACTCTGAAAAAAGGAGAAAAAAAGACTGGGGAAGTCCTACCTGTGTATGCCAGGTTTTTTTGCACACCTTTGTGTGCCAAGATGCAGCTCCCTTGATAGCATCTACAGCAGTGGTGGGATTCAATTTTTTTTACTACCAGTTCTGTGGGCATGGCTTGGTGGGCATGGCAGGTGAAGGATACTGTAAAATCTCCAGTCAGAGGTGGGATTTGCTGGTTCTCTGAACTACTCAAAATTTCCGCTACCGGTTCTCCAGAACTGGTCAGAACCTGCTGAATACCATCTCTGATGTACAGAACTCCAACTCTAAATAAAATTTGTAACATTGAAAATTAAAGATAGTTACCAGTACAATTTTAAACAATTGCCAGATTTTGTGTGGTTTTGTGTACTTACATGAATTTTGGAGATGTCAAGTGAGGATGTCAAATCTAGTAATCTCTCAGAATTTCAACATTTTAAGTTTTAAAAAGTGACCTAGCCTTTGTTTATTCTTACTAGAGTTTTCATTTTATATATATGTAGCTAAAAAGAATTTGACTAGTTGGCTTACTTTTTCCATGAATGGTCAGCTGTATGTTTATAAAGCTTCTCTCCAAATACCAGTACGGGCCAGTAAAATATCATTGCATGGCAGGCACATGTTTTCCTTTATCACCCAAAGTCCCTATTGCAATCCAGTTTTGATCAGCAGATATTACATCATGATTTTGAGACAGGGTGACGCAGGCATCTTGGTGCATCTTGGCATGATGTCCCTATCAAAGTTGGCCAGGTGACATGAGGTTGGGTTCTGGTTGGATGTTTATCCTTTCATATTGCCTGGAAAAAAACAGCTGGATGTGCTCCAAAGCTGTGAGCACGTGCCTTTTTCATGGCATTGTGTAACAATGCGTCATGTTGCATGGTGTTCCAACCCCACCCCAGAGTCAAAGCTCTCTCTTCTGCCTTCTCTGGCTTAAAACAAACAAAAAATTTGGAAGCCATCAACAAGTCAAGGCTGCTAGTGAGCAAATATGAAGTTCTGCTTTCTCAACACTTTCCCAAACCCTGTCCTTTTACCATAATTTATTGCCTCTTCTCAGATTCTGACCACACCCAAACCATAAGCTTAAGGCAAACAGTCTTAATTGTCACATCCTACCAGGATATACTGGGACCCATAGTCTGTGTTTTCCTAATGTCAGAGTAAAATTTGTAGGTTTTTTTATGTTAAGCCATTGCCTTTACTAATGTAAAACTTACTCTATGCTTATATTGTAAAATATAATTAGACCATAGTGAAACAAAAAGCAATGGAAACCTCTAAAAATATTCTTGGGTACAAGCTAAGTTTCAGCACTTCCTCATGTTCTCCTACCGGGTTGGAACCTGATGATGCAGCCTTCTTCTTACTCCTAGTCCATGCATGAGGTCATCTAACTTTGATCTGATCTGATTTGTAAGTGGTATTCCCCATCTTTTCCTCATGTAAGCTTTGTTATGTGCACAATTTGTGGCACATTGATGTCAATTAATGGTGATAACACAGCAGAGGCTATGACCTAGCCAGGATTTCTCCTTCAGTTGCCAACATCTCCTCTAGACTCTAGAAAGAGTACAGAGAAGAGCAATAAAGATGATTAGAGGGCTAGAGGATAAAACATATGCTTAATGGTTGCAAGAACTGGATATGTCTCTAATCTAATGAAGAGAAGAATTAAGGATGACATGATAGCAGACTTCTAATATTTGAGGGGCTGTCACAAAGAAGAGGTGAACAACCTATTCTCAAAGCACCTGAGAACAAGACAAAAAGTAATGGATGGAAACTGACCAAAGAGAAATCCAACCTAGAATTAAGAAGAAATTTCCTAACAGTGAGAATAATTAATCAGTGGAATGCCTTCAGAAGTTGTGGCTACTCCATCACTGGAGGTTTTTAAGAAGAGATTGGACAGCCATTTGTCCAGAATGATATAGGGTCTCCTGCTTGAACTGGGAATCAAGACCTCCAAGGTCCCTTCCAATTCTGTTATTCTATTATTCCTTCCATTGACACTTTGGGCTGGCCAACCAGAATGATCAGACCTGCCTCAACCAGGATAGTCTTAAAAAGCACAAAGGAAATAATAATTCATGATTCGGAGAAAGGGGACAGGGCAATTTTTCATAAATATGAGATAATGTATTCACTCGGGTATATGAAAGAGAAGTTGTGCTTATTTGGAAGTTTGCTCATTCTTTATCCAACAATGAAACCAAGAGAAAATTCCAAAATCAGTCCAGGGCTTTTTTAAAAACTTTTTTTACTTAACCATCTTATATGATGAAAAGTTCTCATTTTCTTTTCATCTAGGAAACCCTCACTACATCTGTGGAAGTTAGCTAAGAGGGAAATCAGATTTATACTTTGTACCAGTTTCCATATTGGAGCAAAACACATTAAACAAGCTGTCTGGATTGGCTCCTTGAGCAGCTTATTCTGGAATTCACATGACTTTTTGGAAGAAGTAAGAGTAGCATATACTATCGCAGCTGCAAAAATTTGGAACATGACAGAAAAAATTTATATTTTCCTGTATAATTTTGCTCCCATCCATGGGCTACCCAAGTTCTTTGCTACAATTCAACGCACTAATGACCAGGACTTTCAGAGTAGATCCAAAAATGAGAGAGGTGTGAAACAGAAAATCCTCTAAGAAGATCTTGTATAGTTCCTATTCTTCTGACTGAATGGATCTTCTTGATGCAATCATTTATTATTATTATTATTATTATTATTATTATTATTATTTAGAAATGCCCCATTACAGTTGCTGATGACAAAGTCTTGTTTTTTCCTCATGGTGCTGATTCTTCCCCTTCCCAATAATTATATACTTTAATACCTCCTTTTAATTTTCCTCTTGTTCTTTGGTTACACTTTAAGAATCTTGTTTTATTCCCTGGGATTTAAAAAAATGATTATTTACTTTGCCTTCAGTCCAATTTAAGATGGATTCTTTTAGTGTTCCGCTGTATTTTTGTCAAGAATTCTGAGTACCAGTTGACGGTGCTTTTGAGAGGGATCAAGATTGTATAAATGGAGGGTATAGTTCAATTAAAACTATCACCAACGGTGGTTATTTTTATTCAAGAAGTAAAATTCAATTTGTGGAATTTTTGGGTATAAAGAGTAAGATAGATGACCACTCCTGGAGGAAAAATCCTTCTCTGTAGTAAATGTGTGCCATACCTCAGATGGACTGTGTCAGTGAGTTTCAGGAATGGTTAACTCAGCAGGGAGGGCAACCTTGATTGTCTGCCCATTTCTCTGCGGCCCCTGAAGCCAGCAAATCAGCAGCTTCCTCTGCCCCCCTCCTCCACTCCCTGCTCTTGCTTAAAAAGGAGCTGTGGCATTAGCTGTCCCCTCTCAACACAGGGCTTTCAGCCACAGATCTGCTTCTAAGATGGCCCAACTGAGGGCACAGGCAGGCGACATCCAGAATGACTTCATCTATCTTTCACATAACAGGAAGGTTCCCAAAAAGATGTCTTCTGTCATGGAGATGAAGGAAATCTTCCTCAGTGCTGATGCAGTTTGCTTTGATGTGGACAGCACAGTCATTAAAGAAGAGGGCATCGATGAACTGGCAAAATTTTGTGGTGTTGGTGATGCGGTGGCGGAAATGTAAGTATGGTCATGGCTTGCTTGCTTGATGCTTCTGGGAATAGAGAGCAGCCATTGAGTTTTGTCTATGGAGATCTTCAATCATCCAGGTCATGGTTGTCCCAAAGGTGCTTTTTCAAAAGGCAACTGGACTTTCTTTGTTTTTCCTTGAAGACATTTTGCTTCTCATCCAAGAAGCCAGAGAAGTCAGAGCTGAAGAAGCTTCTTGGATGAGAAGTAAAACATCAAGGAAAAGCAAAGAAAGTCCAGTTGCCTTTTCAAAAAGCATCTTTGGGGACAGATATGGAGATTTGTTCTTCTAAAAGATTGGGTGTTCAGTGGTGTATTTGACCTAGAAGTCCAAAGATACCAGGCTGTATGCAATGGTGACTGCCAAGGAAGCTCTTATCAACAGAAAGATCATTGGGTGTTTCTCTCCACACTTAAGCCCTCACTTTCAGATGATCAATAGCCACAGATGAATGTGGGTGTATGACAAAAACGTAAATAATAATGTATTAAGATGAGCCATTTTTAAGGACATTTTTAATAAATGTACAAGCCAACATCATTACTATGAGCTAATAGCATTAGTTGCCTTAATGCATACTCATAGGAATGGATCCTCTTCAGCTATCCTGTTTCTGATGTAGAGGATATCAGAGCATTTTGAGCAAATATTAGAAGACTCTGAGAAAACTAACTAGGGAATATTCTGTTTATGAAGGCTATATTCCATATATTTTTATTTAAAATTTATTAATTACATTAAATTTATAGGTTTACTGTTTGGATTTGGTTGCCCATCTAAAGCCCTGGATGAGAGTTGCTTAGCTTTATCAGATCTTAGTCAGGTCATGTACTGAGTCTTCTAATGAAGCTTCTTGAGTAGATAATTGTAAGCAAGCATCTAACAAGCATATATAGATCAGCACTATTTCTAGTCTGTGAAACCAGTTTTGTAGTCAGCTTTGAAACAGATCACATATGATGAAATCAAGAAGATGGAAGGCAGGGGAATTAAACAAGTAATATTGCTTCTCTTTCACCAGATCAAACCACTGCTTTAAATGTATTGCTATGGCAACATATACTCATTTTGAGTTCATCTATTATTTCATTGGAAGCTGCTTCATGGCACAATCAGAACATTGCTAACTTTTTTCTCTAGTATCTTAAATCTTTAGTAATGCAGCAAGCTTTGTCTTTTGCATCTCTTCAATATGACTTCCAAAGTGACTCCAAAGTTTGCCTGTGCTTTTGCTTGCTTTGGCATTTCACTGAATAATGCACTGAATAATTATCAGCCTCTGTATGTGCTAAGATGAAAAGACAATGGGGTGGTTCTGTGATGAAAAAAAGCTTGTATAATTTTATTATCAGTCCGAGGCCCTTATATCTCATACCTTGAGTATAACATTCAGTGTCTGTGTGAATTTGAAACTTTTGTGATAATATATAGTTAATCATGACAGATTTGATTAAGCTTCCTGTAAGATTTGTTTCATAATTCCATGGGAATTTTTGAGTATCTTTGGCACAACTTTATGGTACAGTTTAGAAATGTATCTATGGTAAACTTTTAGAATAGCTATGTTGTAAAGTATCTTTACAAAACAGCTATGTTTGGTCAGTATCTGGCATCTTCAGGACCAAGTCTAAACGCTGAGAGACTCTGTTGGATCTTCTGCTTGCCCAAGCCAGTGTGAATTGACAATGGATGTGAAAAGTTCCTATAACTGGTCATGTCTGTCCAAAAAGTTGCTGACCACAGCTGCACAGTTGTTATTTTCTCCAGTACTTATGTATTTTTTCACTGTCCTCTTCCTACTTCTAGTTAAACCAGCTGTGCGAGTTTCTGGTGCTTTTTTTAAAATAATGATAGAGAAATGCCAGACTGCACTGGGTGTAATTGAGAAACTATTTAACGCAGTTGTGGTACAAGAACACAGGGCATTTACTTTATTTATGCACAATTATGTTGCATAACCATAAGAACTTTTAATTCCTTTAAAAAACTACTTAAGGATCATACTAGAAATGCCATATATGTCTTTTGTAACACTGAAATAGCAGCTGCAGGTGATTGGGATTGAGGCAACGTTCACAGAAATTTATTCATCCAAATTGTTATTTGGCCTAGAAACAAGCAACAACTTTTTGTAAGGCCCTGATGTCCTGGTTTTGCCCATGGGCCTGGGGAACCCAGAATGGAATGGAGCCCATCAATCGGTTCTTTTGCATGTGCTGTTGCCAGAGGGGAGCAAGATGGAGGTTTATTGTTTTTTATTCTTTTATATTGGGTTTTTAGTCTTTGTAAGCCACCCAGAGTCTCAAAGTGTCTTAAAAATAAATAAATAAATAATAAAACTTAGCATTCGTGAACATCAGGTTCCAGCTTTTGAACAGCACTTGAAAAGGGCTGTATGGATTCTTTATGGATTCCATAAACATGAGGAATGAACTTCCCGAAACAATATGAGCCCTTATATTCTTAGATCACAGAATAAATTTTCAGTGGGTTTTCACAATATATTGAAGTTTATCAGATTCGCATACTGAAACTTCTCACGAGATCTTTCTGCTTTCCTTAAAAGTCTGAAATGAATTTCTTTGACTCCTAATTTAGGACTCGCAGAGCAATGGGAGGTTCAGTAACATTCAAGGCAGCTTTAACTGCACGACTGGGCCTCATACGACCTTCCTACGAACAAGTACAGAAATTAATATCAGAGCATCCACCCCAGTTAACGCCAGGAATAAGGTAAGAAATATTAAGAATAGTTATGTTGTGCAGTGTTTCCAAGATGTATTTTTCCCTTTGAGATTGTCATAGGTACTTGCTGTGTGTCCCTAGGATTTTAGGAAAGACATAGTACAATAATGCTGGACTGGGACTTGGACCTTTGAGTTAGATTCTCCACACACACACCCCACCCCTGTTTATTAAGGTAATCCATCAAAGCATACAAGCTGCTCCTGAATTCAGGCAAGATTATCTTGGCTCCCTCTCCTTTGTCTTGCCCTTTGCAGGTTGAGATTAAAATCCACTGCAATAACACTATTTTTTATTGTACTCAAACTGCAGCCAAACTTTGCTTTATCTGCTTGTTTTCAAGCTATGAAGTGGAATTTGGATTCTGATCTGGGGATTTTCATCCTCAGTGGTGGGCACAACTGCATTCCCTGCCTCAAAGCTGGTGAACAGTTTGGGTTCCTCCTGGACTCACAGCTTCTGTGGAGAACAGCTGACAACCATGTCCAGGAAGGTCTTTGCACTACTTTATCTTGTGCATAAATTGCCCCCATTTTTAGATCAGGAGGTCCTGTTCATTGTCATTCATGCCTTAGTCATTTCCCCGTTAGATTTATGCAGTATTCTCTACAAAGGACTGCCCTCTAAGGCTATCCAGTTGCTGCAATTGATCCAGAGTGCAGTAGTGCAGGCATATTAGTATGTCCATGTAAAACCACTACTGTGTTCTGTGCATTGCATCAGCTCCTGATAGGCTTCTGGGTGTGATTGAGAAGTTAGTTATCATCTATAAATCTCTGTATGGAACAGGGCTGTTATTTTCAGGACCATCTACTTCCTGTTATTTCTGACAGTCCCACAAGTATACATCAAGATAGACAGTCCTTTGTTTGAAGCAGTCGTCTAATGGGACCTAACAGGGACATGCCTGCCCTGTTGCTGCTCCTGTCCTCTGGAACAATCTCCCCTAACTGATGGCTCTGACCCTTATTCTTTCACAGAACTGTGAAGACATTATTTTTGTCCCATGTACTGGATTAAAATGGCAGTTCTTTTATGAAAACAAGTTTTTGCTATGCCCAGACTTGGCTATTTGAGGGGTTTAGTAACATATTTTTATTTCTCCTTCATATTAAGAAGTCTACAAGTTTAGCGCTCATTCTGAGCTAACCTGCTTGTTTTTTTCTTTTTACTCTTGTCTACTCAACAAAAAGGAAAAGGGGAGGGGAATCTCCACATAACTGCAAAGCTGTGAAAATCAGGACGTTTAGTTCCTATCCAAGAGTCATGTGCTAACCAATCAAGGTCTGTCTCATGACCATAAAAACAGGGCCAAGAAATCATGGTGCCAGATTTTGATAAAAACCTTGGAATTATTGCCCTGGTGGTGATTAAAGGGCAGTATTTCAAGCAAACTCTGTCCATAGCCTGAACTTTGATTCCAGTAGGGCTCAAGGTTGACTCAGCCTTCCCTCCTTCTGACATCAGTAAAATTTTGAGAGTAACTCTGCTGTCATTATTAAGGAGCTTGTAGGAAGTTTGGGTATCATCTTGTTTTAAATTAATGATAACACTTAAAATCTCTTGATTCCTAGGAATACTCTTTGTCTCAGGATCCAAACAGATTGCCCTGATACTTGGCAAAACACTATCATAGTCTTCTCATATATTTCATTCACTCCAGATGCCTTAGTTTTCAGTTTCACAGTTCACCAATAATTATAATCTTTTTCATACTAGTTGAGGGTTATGCAGTGTATAGGAAAAGCATTAGAGTAGAGAAGGTTATTCTGGAGGAAGATCTCTGAGGAACCCTTATTTCTCTGTGCCCAGTGTACCTTTCATTTATTTAAAGTTTATTTGGCTTTGTGAGCCTCAAGATCTCTTTGGACCTCTCTTGCACGTTTTGTGTCTATTATATAGATGATAATAATGCAGATAGCAAACAAAAGCAACTTGTTTGAATATATTTGTTCCTTTCCCTGACTCTATTTTTTTTTCCTTTAAAGAGAACTCGTCAACCGGCTCCACCAGCGTGGTGTCCAAGTTTTCTTAATTTCTGGAGGGTTTCAGAGCATTGTCGAACATGTCGCCTCACAATTAAACATTCCAACAGCAAATGTCTATGCCAACAGATTGAAGTTCTACTTTAATGGTAAAATTTTTCATATGATTGAACTTAGAACTGATAAGGTTGTTGATTTAATAGGGACCAAAGATAATAATAATATTTCCATGATGTGTTAGCTGAAACAGAATTACATAACATCTCAATGCTGTAGCAAAGAAGGATCAAAACTGTTCAAAGTCTGTTGCTTTAAAAAAATGAAATATATAAGAATTATTTGAAGGCAAGCTATGATAATCAATGTGAAAATTTATTCCATACAAGACTAAATAATTTTTTCCTTCATTGTTGAAATTTACATTTAGTAGGTATTTGTTTGTAGTTCTAAGCATAGGGCTTATTTTTCTCCCCAACAACCAGCTTGTGAAGTTACCTGCTTTGAGAAAGCAAAACTGGTCAAATCACCAAGGGAGCTTCTAAAACTGAGAATGAACTAGAATCTGGGTTCCCCCACTCTTACTTCCATATGTTAACCGCTGGACCATATTGCCTCTCATGAGCAGAAAGGCTTTTTAAATGACTTTCTGACTTGAACTTTCTGGGTTTTGAACTCAGGAAAATCGTGGCATTCTAATACATTACTGTATGGCCATGTGATACGTACATTTCCATTGAAAAATAATAAACTTGCAAACTGTAAATTCAGATTAGAAGTGGGAACCTGTTTCAGACTAAAGGCTGCAGTATTTTATGGCATACCCAAGAAGGCAATACAGACTCAAAACCCAAAATATGTGTCATACCTATATTTTAGCACTTCCTCACTGGTAGATCAGTCCATTTTCATCCATGCATGAAGAAAGTGGCTACTCATTTCTCACACATAATTCAAATTAATGCCTATGCACTCTATGCACAGAGGACCTTTTCTGAGGTAGCCAGCAAGCCAACTGACAAGTCTCATTGCCAATTCATACAGTGAGTCAAGGTTTGTTGCACGTTTCTTACAGATCTTCTAGTGACTTCACACTAAGGGCACATTTCAGAAATGTAAATAACGTGCACTGTAAAACTAGTTTGTTGAGCTCTCTGCAAAAAAGATCTTTGGGGTTATAAACATCTGAGAGCCTTGGCACACTTAAGCTTCTCATATTTCTGGGTTGGCAATTACGGGCTCCATTTGCTTTTTTAGAATATAAAGCAGAACTAAAAGTCCATTAGGCCAGCTGTGTCTAACCTGATCATGTAGCTGAGAAATCTGGAGATTGTAGTCTGGAGAGCAATGGAAGGGGAGGACTGGTCTAGTCCATCTTCCTGCTTCTCAAAGAAGCCAACAAACCATAAGTTTATCTTGAAGCAGCAGGTCCCTGGCCTTCATCTTTTGCTTTCCCATCAGCTAGAATTCAGCAGTATATAGATTTAGAGGTTCTGTTCCAATATCATAGCTAATAATCTGTAAACTGCTGTGACCCTTATTAAATTTTCCCTACTTCCAAACTGCAGAGATTTTAGCCAGTTCTTGTAGAAAGCTTTCCAAACGTGTTCCCCCATGGAATATTTTGAATTGCTTCATTTTTAAAATCATAGTCTCAAGTGTTGCTTAAGTTGACCCTCAGCTAGGAAAACAAGTTGAAGTGAAATCTTTAAATAGTAAATGGTTGCGCTTGAAGAATTAGGCCTTCTAATCAGTTTCCCAGTTATGAAACATCAATTGCCCAGGTTATGCAAAACAAGTAATTCCTTCCAAGGGTTAAGATTTGACACTTTGGTTTGGCACATGGTAAGAGCAAGGGGTGTGTTGCTGAGATCAGCTTGTTTATTGAGCGGTCAACAGGGTCTCTTATCCAATAGCTGATAAAAAATGCAACTTCAAGGTTAAGATATCCTGCTAGTGATATCCCACTGATATTACAAATTTCCAACCAGTCTCAGCTTATTTGAAACATTGCAATAAACAGGGTCACTCAAGTGTGTGGTACTTGGCTTTAGATTAATAATCACTCTATATTGCCAGGGGGTGGGGAAAGAAGTAAGTGTGAAAGATCAGAATTTTTCCACTGTCTGTTTCTACCCTTTTTGTTTGTACATAAGGGTAGAAAGCCTGCATATGGAGAAAAAGTGGCGAATGGTAACTTTCCCCAAACTTAAAATTATGGAATAAGATACAAATGTGTTTGGGACTAGTTTCTATTTTCAGGATTAATTTTGAAATTAATGGCCTAATAATAGACATTTGAGCCCCTGAGCATGTAAGTAAAAGTCCCTTCATCTTCAGAGGAAAATAGCCAAATTCATGTACAAAGATTATTAAAACATATTATTAAGAACAGAATCAAGATGGCATAATGATTAAGAGGTCAGACTGGCACTGGGGAGAAACAGATTCTAGACCACTTCAGCCCTAAAATCTTCCTGGGTGACTGTGGGCCACCCTCATTCCAACTTCTTATTCTGGTGTTATGTACACCACTCTGGTCTTCTGAATGAAAAGGTAAGATATAAATCCAACATGCGAATAAAAGCTAAATTATTAACCAGAAAATTGATTTCCCAGATTTGAAATCTTTTGTATTGAAATTCCGATAATTAGAAGTTCCCTCATTCTCTAAGGACATTTTTTCCCTTTCTCAGACTTCTAACATCTTTGAAATTCTCCCAAGTATTTTGGGACAGCCAGTCAAGAATTTCTTTTTGTATCTTTTATTTAGGAGAATACGCCGGTTTTGATGAGACACAGCCAACAGCTGAGTCAGGTGGTAAAGGACAAGTCATCAGTTACTTGAAAGAACAGTTTCAATTTAAGAAAGTAGTTATGATTGGCGATGGAGCAACAGACATGGAAGCCTGCCCTCCAGCAGTGAGTATCAAAGATGGACATTTTAACCACAATTTAATTTTTATTTACCTGTCTTCCTGTTGACCTAGGGCAGGGGTGTCAAACTCGATTTCATTGAGGGCCGCTTCAGGATTGTGTTTGACCTCAGGGGTCCAGGTGTGTGTGGCCAGGGGGCATGGCCAGCTCCACATCACTCATTAAGGCATCATTTTCGGCCATGATGGCCTGCAGCCCTCTGCCAATGAAAACGGAGCTCAGGATGGCCATGCCTGGTCCGCCTGGGCTCTGTTTTCAGTGTCAGAGGACTGCAGGAGACTGTCATGGCTGAATACGGAGCCCAGGAGTGCCATGTGCTGCTCTTCCGAGCTCTATTTTTTCTGGCAGAGGCACCATGGGCTGGTCCTTCACTGTTTCCAGGGCAGCCCTGCAGATCAGATCTAAGCACCCCATGGGCCGGGTACATCCCTGGTCTAGGGTAGTTTGTGCTAAGTTTCCTGTATTTTTATCTCCACAGAGATTTAGGCAATGTGTCATAGACCAAGACTGACCAAAATTTGGGAAACCTTTTTGACCCTGTTTAAATGCAATAAACCCCTTATAAATCAGTCAGCAGATTTGCCTAGCGTATACTGTATAAAAGTGGCCTAATGTAGCCTCCTGATAAAACACAGATTCACCTGTTTTCCTTTCAACTTTCTCTCTCCAGAAAGATTTACCTGTACTTTCCCAACCTTAGAATTACAAAAGCAACTTAATTTACATATTAGCATGCAAAATCTACACACCATTTAGACAAAATGAACCCACAAAGCATGCACAGATGAAAAAGGGTAGACTTTTTAAAAATTCATTTTTGGTACATACCTCTCCATAAGGAACCAAGTTTAATTCCCATTCCTGGTTAATAATTACCATTCATTATTAATTATTGTCTTTTATATCTTCTGGGGGAGGAGAGGCAAATTAGAATGAATAGGTCATGGAACAATCAGAACATTTAGACTTGGCATTCAGAAGCAAAATCCCTGTGCTGGTCATGGTAATTGACCACCTTGACATTTAAAGGCAAATAATTCTCCTTTATTAGATCAGCAGATTTAGACTTGGAATTTTGGATGACCAAACAGAGGAGGGCAATGCAGTGGCTCCTGGATAGGAAAGATATGGTGGGAGGCTAGCCAAAATAAGCATTTCCTCCAAAGAATTTTTAACAGTAGGCAACACAACATAAAGAACTGGTACAGGGTGGCTAAGGATAAAAGATACAGAAAGAAAAGCAGAAAATCAAAATAATTTGGTAGCACTTTCCTGACTAACACATTTATTAAAAGGCATACAATTTAATAACTTCGATTAGTTGGAACTGACACCCTCTCATTTTTGACCACCGTATAAACTAACACAGCTCTCCCCCTACATTATCTAACCACAGGAAGCATTAAGACAGAAAGGCAGGAATTCCACAAGTGGTTGAGGAATTTGCCTGACTATTAATAAATATCTTTATTTTCTCAAATGTCCATATGCCCAAAGTATTTAATTCTCCTACAAATAAACAACTGTTTAGTCTTGCTGTTCCTAAGGGTTGCTTTTTCAGTTGTTACCAGAGGATGAGGACACATTTCCAATTTGTCCATGACTTGTGAACTCTGAAATGGTCTCTGGGGAGAGGAAGAATAACTCCCAGCTTGTCTGTTTTCTGTTTGTCCAGGACTGTTTCATCGGCTTCGGGGGCAACGTTATACGGAAACAAGTAAAAGAAAAAGCAAAGTGGTACATCACTCATTTTGATGAGCTACTGAAAGAACTGGAAGAACGATAAATTATTAACTAGACTTATTTTATTAATACTTATTGTAGGTAGATATATAATTATGCAATTAAACATATTGTTATTTGCAAATGGATATGTTCTGGACTGTTCATTAATGACTCTGCAGGAGGGCATAAACATCACTACTTTCATTTTACACGGATGTTCGGAGGAAAATTAGTCTGGCCCATGTATAAGGAAATTGCACCTGTATAAAAATCATAGCAAAGCTTTAGTTGCTATTGATGATGGGAAAATAATAATAACAGTATACCACCAGGCACCCAGAAACAGTAAGCAGTTTATAAATTGTTAAAAACATTTAAAAATGAAACAATAATCAAAAGAAAACATTAAAAGAAAAGAAAAAGAAAAAAAGGACAAAAGTGGCAGAAATGATAAAATTGGATGGTAAAATAAGGGTTTCAATAAATGAGGTGTCTTATAACTAGTACCCATAATCCACTTCGAAAAATAGTCTGGGGATTCAGACATGAGGGAAAGGGGATTGAGAAAAGGTGAAGAACGGAACGAGAAGATAAATTTTGCTCACCAAAGGAAGCAGCAGACTGTGATGTGAAGATGGCAGCATCATAAGGGAGGAAAAGATAAAGGGCATAAAAATGGAACTGTAAAAGAGAATGAAATTCAAAATGTATATCCTGCTTCAATCTTAATTTTTGAGGTGTCATCTGGTAAGTATAAGAGTATCATCAGGATTATCACCATTCTTCAACAAACATTTAAAAACCAAAATAACTAAATCAAGCCATTTAAAGCAGCATTGCAACAAGAAACATGTTTCCAGCCATGTGTCTCCTGCAGCTTTGAGGCCAACCCTGATTTGCAGAAGTCCATGTAACTTTCACAGATGGTATTCTCATCTGTCTGACATTCATTGAAATATAATATGGCAGCTCACAACTGCCATATGTTACAATTCAATATAAGCCAGTGACAGGATTCACACATTAGCCACAGTGTGATTTACAGTACTTGTTTCTAATTCTGTGTGTTATATAATCCTGCAAATGTAGCTTATTCAATAGACCATGGTTCAATCAAACTACAAAATAGGTGACTTCAGAATACAACATTAGTTGCATACTCCAAGCCAAGAAGGGGTTTAAGAGATCAGAAGTGGAGAACTGCAAGGGAAATTGTATAGATTACCAACATATCCAGCTCCCCTTTCCTGACAGCCCCGCCATCCCCAAACTTGCATTGGCTGAATTCACAAATTATGCCACGTCACAGGTTAAATTTGATTTACTGAACTTGCCACAATTGTCTGGGTTCACACTTTCCATCCAAAGCAAATTTCTAGATTCAAATTCCATGCTGAACCAAAATCAGGCCAACTCCATTATAGCTTAGTGTGATGTCTGAATCCAGATAATATTTTTCAACAGTAATACCTACCCCAAAGCTCAGCTTGTGTCAGCACAAGATTTTCCTCAGACACTTCTGCTCTATAAAAATCCAACAGAAATCTGCAGCAACTTTGGTAGGAAACTACTGCCAGGCAGCTTTCCTTCTTAATCTTCAGGCAGGAACAATTGTGGTATTATGCTGGGAGTTGAAGAGCTTGACCCATGGCAGGATTTCTCTTGGTGAGATTACAAAAAGAGTTCTCACCCCACCCCCTACCCCTGCTTTTTTCTCATATTTCTTTTATAGCGGTAGAGCTTCACATCCAAGTCTTCATTTTGTTAAGCAAAGAGGAGTGATTAAGGCTCATCGTTACAAATTTTGGGATTCAATCTGGGAAAATATGTCTTCAAAGTTTTTCCTTCATAATAGCTGCTGAGAACAGGGACAGATTAAAACGTCTGGATTTGGGGAGTTTTGCAGACTCTGAACAGAATGCCTTTCCTGCACAATAGATAATGCAGCACTGGACAGAGAGATAGAGAAGGGGCATGTTTCTCATTCCCTTTGCGACAACAACATTATAATCTCAGAATTTAAGGGCATCCATAACTGCTCAACAGGAAAAAAAAGAGAAGGCAGAACATAACATTTTGTGCTGGATTAGAGTAACAATTATGTTCAATGTTTCTAAATAATATAGATCTCTGACCTCTAATGCTATTACAGCACAGACAACATAGGCCAGTGTTTCTCAACCTTGGCTGTGGACTTCAACTCCCAAGATTCCCCAGCCAGTCCACGCATCTTCAAGTTGCTAAGGTTGAGAGACACTAGCATTGACAGTGGAGAATCTCCAGCCTAATGTAAATGTACAGAAACAAAATGCAATATGTAACAAATTTGCAGACTGTGCAGACCATAAATACAGTTACACAAAACTTTGTTTAATAATAGAGTTGTTAGCATGAAATTCTTTGCTTTCAACTTTGTAAACTGAATGAATGGGTTAAGAGAAAGAACTATCAAAATTTATGTATTTATTTATTATTTAGTTACACGTGACACAGTATGTTCATATTCAGAAACAGCCTGCCTCTGAACTCCTGAGTTTAGGGCATTGGCTTTCTCTGGGAATCTTTTTTTTTTTACCGGCTTACTATGGGATTTCAGGGCAATAATTGGCATTTCACACACACACAACCCAAAATACTCAGATTTTGGTGATAGCCATATATCAATCTTAACTTTTAAGATGACCTTTCTGATTGGCAAAGCAATTTGTTGTTTCTTCTTCCTCCTCTTTCTCCTCCTCCTCTTCCTCTTCTCCTTCTTCTTGTAAATTGCCCTAAAAGAGTACCTCAGATACTATTTCAGACCCAGAAAAGAGAATTTCAGCTTACATAAAAGTTTCCCTTGAGATACTCTTTGTCACTTCTTCCAATAGAAAACAGGATTTAGCCTCAAAAGACTATCCAAGGACATGTGTCTGTCTGGCTGCTGATGTATCACATGAGTTTCTGAGAATTGTTTTGCCAAACTCATAATACATTATTCTTACTGTATAATACAGTACTACATTGTTCATCAAACTTTACATGGGAATAATGCCAGGTTTTATATAATATGGTCAAGTTTACAGGCTCTCTCTTAATTGCTCTCTAACCCAAAGCCTCTGGTTGTGTTCCTAGAACATTCTTAAGCAGATTAGTTAAGGACCAAGCAGATGCATCTGTATAACATGCTAAACTTAGCTTGCTAAGTTCTCTATATTTTAGCATGCTGTTGGTTAGCTTATGGTTCAATATATTCCATGATGAAAGAAAGTGGGTTGCAGAAGTTCATATGAATGCAACCTATGTCTTCTAAACCAGTCATTAGGTACTTTTTGTTTTCTGGCTGGCAAAGGAAAAGAAAGGAAAGGGGAAAGGAAAGGAAATAAGAGAGGCGAGGAGAGGAAAGAAAAGGAAAAGGAAAAGGAAAAGGAAAAGGAAATCCTGCAGATTTTACTCCCACTAGTGGTTGCCAACTATAGGATGCTTATCTACATTTCAGAGGAGATGGACGGTATAAAAATTTAATACATAAATAAAAAATAAGTAATAATGTGTTTAGGTTTAGTTGAACTTACTTTATTTTTGAAATTTGATAAATGTAGTGGCCTTTCCCCCTTTCCCCTTTTTCTAATGTGCTTGCTTTATAACCAGAGATCATGTTTACTCTTTTCTGAATCAAGAGAATTTCTGATTAAAAACTTCCCCACTTTGAAGACTTGTGTGGTTACACAACCTTGTTCTGTATTCCAAGACCAATACAAGGTTTATTCTGTTTTGACTTTAGGACTTTAGGTAGGAAGAATCAAGCATCTTTAATGTAATTTCTTAGACATTGGGCTGAAGGGAACAATGCTAGAAAAAAATAGTTAAGAATTATCTGCTGCATAGATTAGAGAGCTTGGTGACCTGATCTGACAATGGATTTGCAGTACCTGCTAAAATAAATTCTGCTCCAGCGCGGATGGCAGTTTTTAGCAATCTATTACTGTATGTCATTTTCTGGTCAGCCTTTTCTACCAGAACAGAAACAAAAAAAGAGTTGAACTGGAAAAAAGAGTATGGCTATGCTCACACAACATACTTAATTTGGTTACTGAATTAATTTATTTTCTGGCTTCTTATAAGATGAACCAAACATTAGCCAAATAGACTGGGTTTGTACAACCTACAAAGACAGATAGATACAGACGCACAGATACACACAAACTTTAATCAATGTTAATGCTCAGCTGATTCAACATGATGAACAATGCATTTTCAGTCATTGATGTCCTGATGAATCAAGACATGCTAATACATCCCATGGTACTAAATGTCACATAGAAAAAGACGTTGGGCTGGAAAAAAGGAGAGCTGAAAATGTTGGAATGAGGATTCAGGATAGGTCAGAGATCACATAAGATTTCTAGAAAGTGTTTCAGAATGAGTAAAAGGAAGCACCACATGAATGTGCAAGCAGAGCTTCTAGCTACAAAGGGAATGGTTGTGAGGTGGTTTTGTTTACTTATTTACTTATTTATTTATTTTGTCAAGCAATTATAAGATAACAGGTATAAGTATAAACATAGTTATGGATACATGAAGTGGATACATATAAGAAAAAATAAAAGAAATAAAAATAAAAAAGAAACAATAGGACAGGGACGGTAGGCACGTTGTTGCACTTATGCAAGCCCCCTACAGACCTCTTAGGAAAGGGGTGAGGTCAATAGTAGACAGTCTAAGGTTAAAGTTTTTGGGGTTTGGGGAAGAAACCACAAAGTCAGGTAGAGTATCCCAAACATTGACCATTCTGTTACTGAAGTCATATTTCCTGCAATCAAATTTGGTGCGGTTTACCTTGAGTTTGTATCTATTGTTTGCTCTTGTATTGTTATGGTTGAAGCTGAAGTATTCATTGACAGGTAGGACATTGCAATGTATGATTTTATATACTATACTTAGATCAGACCAAAGGCAGCGTTTTCTATGTCTAGAATTTCAAGTCTGGTAGCATAAGGTATTCTGTGACGATTAAAGGAGTGGAGAACTCTTCTTGTGAAATATTTCTGGACCTTCTCAACTGTGTTAATATCAGAAATGTAATGCGGGTTCCAGACTGATGAGCTGTATTCGAGTATTGGTCTAACACATGTTTTGTATGCTCTCGTTAGTAGTGTGATA